CCCCAAAACCCCAAAACCCCAAAACCCCAAAACCCCGTTTGGCTAGAACATTACTGAATACTCAAGAATAATATTTGAGATAATCACCAGGTCTTGGAATATTAAAGTGCTAACTTTTTCTAAGTTAATTAATTAATGAAGATCTAGTCTATTTCCAAATCTGTTGGAGCCAAATCATACAATTTCTCAATCAAATTCTCAGCATGGATTCTTGGGACCAAGAATTCAGGCCTTTCATGACCTTCTTTATTGTTATTATCCCAACTCAGAACTTTGGACTTCTGAAGTTCTGGAAGTGCGTCAAATCCAACAATAGCTCCGATGAGTCCACCTGCAATGCAAGCGTTGGTGTCAGTGTCACCTCCTCCCATCAGGATCTCCACCATTGCATCTTCGTAGAATATGGGACTAAGGGGTTCTTTTGAGTCCTCACTTTCTTTTGCAAGTCTGAGGTATCTGAGACAGCAAACAAAGGCATTCTTCATCCATCCCATCTGGTGTTCTAAGCTACCAAGTTTATCCTCACAAGATTCATCAACCCATCCAAGAATCAGTTCCTTATACTCTTCATCAGCTGATTGGTTAATTTCGTCTATGATTGCACTGTAGACATCAGCTAGTTTGACTCCATTGATGATCAGAGTCATCATGTAGATGTACAACCCTTCAACATAGTGGACAGCTGGATTCGGATGGGTGAAAGAGGCATCAAGTTTTGCTGCTTCAAAGACACAGTCTCTGTGTTTTTTCCATTCTTCAGCTTCAAAATCGTCAACATTTGCAGTCTTCATGTTGTAACATAAAACAGCAAGAGGGGTTGCTCTCATTAATGAGCCGTTGCTTTGTGATCCTTGGGAGCACTTTTCTGCTTCTTTCTTGATCTTGTCTGGGTTTGGATTGTCTTGGTCTGCGACAGAAAGAGCACTTCTGATAGTTATTCCACAATCAAATGGCTTAGAGTTATACCATTTTGCATAGTATTTAGCCGCTTCAGATTCTACAAACTCTCCTTGACCATTGGCTAAGGCATGCAGAAGGCACATAGTTAGTTCTCCATCATCAGTAACTTGTCCTGGACCAACTCTGAAGACCCCACCTCCAGGCATTTGAACAGCTTCTCTACCTAAATACAGCAGATTAACTTAACTAAGCCTAGCTAGCACTTACAAAGGTCTTCAGTAATCTCTCCCCTATGAAACTCAAGCACTGCTCCAGCTGCATCTCCACAAAGAGCTCCAACAACACATCCTTTGGCTCTATCAAATGTGTTGTATCCTTTCCACTTGCCTCTCCCAAACCCTTGACTTTCTTCATCCCCAGCTACAACTAACCTTCCACTCATACCTTCTATATGCTCTTCCTGCTGCCAGCTACCACCCCAGCGCCACAAACATTTTCAAAGTTTTCCAAATGAGATGCCCATTACAATATTAATTATGAAATTAATGTATTTTGGGGTTTTGGGGTTTTGGGGTTTTGGGG